TGACGAGGATTTGAAACCTACTACTCATCTATAATAGAATCTAGATTTATTTTCTCAGCAAGTTCTCTTTCTATAAAAAGTATCATACAATCAGCAAGAAAATCATCTTCCATTTTGTTGCGAAGTGTCGTCTTCATATGTTTCATCGCTGAAAATGCTCACTCAGTACTTGCGATAGAAATAGGTAATGTCAATACAAGATGAATTAATCTAATCATCATAATGTGAATCTCCGACCTTCCACTCTCAGTCTACTGTTTGCATAACTCAAAAAGTGTAGATACTTGAAATCGAGACTCACCCTTCATATCTAACTCATAATGTGCAACTCATATTCCAATGTAATAATATCTTGCTTCGAAAAATTTTGAGTGTAAAATATCTCTGCAAGTGTGCAAATTTTTCGATTGTCAAACAATCTAAATGAATCTTTAGGATCCAAAGCTGCACTGAGAGAAAGGAGTTATATTGATATGTCATTAAATCTTGTATATAACTCCATCGTTACAAAATCTATTGCTTTATTAAAAATATCATAGTGATAATAATGCTCAATTGTAGTTTCATCACTAGAACGGCCAGTGTTATACAAACTTTTTAGATCGGGTATTGTAATATTATTCTTTGAGCAAAATGATTTTACTTCTTGAAGAAATTCTTCCCAATCGTCATCTCTCAATTTTTGAAGCAATTGTTTAGTGGTAGACACAAACATTAAAGCAGTCAAAATGTCTTGGGATCTTCTTTGAAGGGCTTGACAAAGAACATCACTGATTCTCATTATTCTATGCATCAAATGCAAGATAAATATGAACTTAAAACTCACCAACTTTTTGTAAGCACCACGAGCTTCAGCTTGAGATCTACCATTTGAACAATGATCACAAATATATTGAAGCACTTTGCTGGTTGCACCATACATATCTATCAAGCTCTTTATAGAGTTGTAATATGAGCTCCAACGAGTAGCTCCCGATCGTTGCAAATTAACCATTTGATTAGCCCCACTTCCAGATTCAAGCTCCCTGGTATCCATCATATGTTGAATTTCCTTTCTATGAGAAAATTGCAACTCAGTAACTCGTTCATGAGAAGAAGTAATAACATTGACAATCTTGTCCAAATGAGAAAAGAAGTTCCAAATGACATGGACTTTTTTAGCTGCCGCAGCCAATGTTAACTGTAATCAATGAGCAAAATAATGGACATAGTAAGCATATGTACGATCTCTAAGAAACAATGCTTGAAGTCCATTCCAAGCACATCGCATGTTATTAGTGCCATCATATCCTTGTCCTCTCATTTTGTTTACCCGAAGTTCATATTGAGCAAGAACATCACATATTTCATTTTTGAGATTCGATGTAGTATTACTGA